AGAGGAGGTTGGAAGTGATTAAACATTACGCAACGCCACATGACCATGCTGAGTCAGCAGCCTGTCTTCCGTAGAGAATGTACAACAGAAACAAAACCTTTACGTGAGGCAAAGCTTAACGAGTATCGGACTAGGTTTGTAGTTTTGTAGGTCTGATGCAAGAAGAGGATAGTCTTGAGCTAGCAAACCCCATCGTTTACCCCTGGTAACCGTAAGATACAGCGTAGAAGACTAGATGTTCTGTGCCACTCGGTACACAAAAGTTAACTGAGCTAAGCATACAACACTTCTTTTTAAAAACTTTCTGCCAAATTCTCCATCATCCGAATTTCGAGCTACCAACATTGGCGATAAACTTCAGGGGGCGGAACCACAGGGGCACTAACCTCGCATTCCTCCACACGCTAGTTCAAATTCCCGCACAATTCACGTGATCGGTTCCAACCTCCTGTGGTGCTGATGTACAGAGTGACTGGTTGCAAACCCATTTTATGCATGAACAGGGAAAGAAATTCCACCATCATTAGGTACATACGTAGGTAAACGGCAATATAAGTACAAAGGAAAAATAGGTGAAGAAAACGAAAAAATTAATGGTAAGTAACAGTAAACAAGCAACAGAAAAGTGCCAGCTTAAAAGTGTATCCCTCACACCATCTTTCAACAACAACAACTTGTGAAAGATCCTACCCTGCAACTGTAAAGATCAATGAACACAAGGCAACAGACTGATGAATCTCCTAGTAGCTGAATATGTGCACCAAAAAACATCAAGTGAACTTTCAGGCAGTTTCTGTCCGTTCTACAAACAAAAGCTCTTTATAGCCAAGTGCTCGCCTTTTCACTTAAGTGTCATTAAATTGGTCTGAGGGACAGTCTCTCTTTACTAATCGGTTGTGACATAACTAGTTAACTACCCTTAGTCTGAAGAACAATACACTGGGTCCCACTTAATACCATACCCTCTAATAAAATATCCCGCATTTTACTCCATTTTATAGATAATGTCATATCCTGCCTATTGCCATAGAAAAATTGAGCAATTTAAGGTTTTTGCCCGCATTGTCATTATTTCGCATTAGGCATTCTACAACTTTGGGCTGGAGTTTTGTAACTCACCATTTTCCACCTGGATTCATTAGCTTATGTAAACAGCTAGGCTAGCATAGCTTGCATTGTGTGTGCTATCTGGGTCACAGTATACATTGGTATACACAGTATATACACCTGCATTGTAGAATATCCTGCTTATTAACCCTGGCGTGCATGCGCAGCGAGGGTTACGGTAGTTGGGTTTGTCTGTCTGTCTGTCTGTCTGTCTGTTACTCGTCATCTCACTTCTCGAGTGTTCGTTCGTCTCACAAAGGATACCACCTACTGAACGGGCAATGAAGGTCAGAAAATATGTGGGGTTTTCTCTGAAACTGCTCCGTTGCAGAGCTAGAGCGCGAAAAAGCCAATATGCAAATAGGCAACGGACGGGATGGCTTACCACGGTCTGATCGATCCGCGTGCTCTGCGTACCTCAGAGGCACCAGAAGATGCAACGCAGGGCGTGTATCGCCTCTCGCATGCTATCTAGTAGTGTAGTTAGCCCGCGTCAGACTCTGCGCGAGCTGGGAAGAGACCACGAGTAACAGCTAAAACTAAACCCAGCCCATCAATTAGTGGTACGGCGCATGCGTTTACTTACGTGTGCGCGTCACAATGCGCCGAGGGTTTGCACTTCAGTGCTTTTCATTATCATAGTTTTTGGGGTATGATATTAACCAGGACCCACTGTACTAGTCTTTTTAGTCTTGGTCTTTGTAGTATGGGTACTTTATTGTGTGTGGAGCCACATTTGCAGGTAGAGAGACATACAGTGCTCCAGGCTAAAGTGCACTTTTTCATTCCAGGTCAAATTTCTGGGCCACGCTGAACATCAGTCCAACATATGGCTTATCAAAATGATCCCCAATCTTTGATGGTTAATTGATCACAGTGATAAGACGTCATATGGTTGTCACGTGACAGTAATGGCGGTTGAAGTGACACGGTTTGGAGAAATACTTGAGGCAGAGGATTTCCATAAAATTGTTAAGATCTGAAACTTGTGAAGCAGTATCTACCATGTCCTAGGGAAGTATCTTTGAGCCATGTAAAGGTCAGGCACCCCCTCACCGTTTCTTCACAGGAGACCAAAACAGTTGATTTTAGAGGTCCCTATAGGTTAGGCACGGAAAATCCAAGTCCCTTTAGCTCCCAGATTTCACAAATGACTAGCCAATATATCATAGTTTCCATGCATATTCATAGTCTAGCGCTCGCTGCTTCCACACGTAGAGCCTTGTTCTGCTGAAGTTACGTTTTTTGACGGTTGTCCTGCACGTCGATGACCTTTACTATGCTCTGCCTCCAAACTTCTACGTCATACTTCAACATTTTTTTTAACATTTGACTTAACATAATATACGAATAGAGAGCAAGTGCGCGTGCACGTCGGCGGCTGATTCAGGGCCTTTGAAGCTTGCATCAGGTGATAGTCACGGCCGAATGTATGGTATTATGGAGAGCCACCGCCCCCTCGAATGATCATCGCGATGTTAACAATGGTCTTGGCGAAACAGCGACAGCTGTGAGTACGCATGGAAACTATGATATATTGGCTAGTCATTTGTCAAATCTGGGAGCTTAACTCCCAGGGATTTGGATTTTCCGTGCTGTATAGGGACCTCTAAAATGACAGTTTTGGTCTCCTGTGCAGAAATGGTGAGGACGCGCCTGACCTTTACAAACATGGTACTGCTTCATAAGTTTCAGATCTTAACTACCTATTTTGTGGAAATCCTGTGCCTAAAGTATGTCTCCAAACTGTGTCAATTCATCCGCCATTAGTGTCACGTGACAGCCACGTGACGTCTTATCAGTGTGATCGAACTAATCATCAAAGATTGGGGATCATTTTGATAAGTCATACAGTACACGGCAAAAAAAAGTTCCCACTACCGTACCATAGTACGGTCACACCGTAGTAAGAGCTATGGTCTTGCTACGCTGCTGCTACGCAGTAGCAACGCCGTACTACGGTGAAAGCCGTAGACCACAGTACACCGTCTACAGTCCTATACTAAGCAGCGTGGCCCCATGCAGCTTTAGCTAGCTACGGCCAGGAGATCCACACGGTGTTCACACAGCAACAGTGCTGTGATCGATGGGCTGCTCTTGCCGGTTTGGTGGGCACGGTCGCATGCGCGCATGTCGCGTCAGCGGGCGCAAGGAGAGCGAGAAGCGATATCAAGCAGCAGTAGCAATGCTAGACACGGCTGCGCTACAATGCTAGTGTTCTTAGCTTACTCTCAGCTTTAGAAACAACGCTCATTGCTTGCTAGGCCTTTAGCTGCCACTGTTTACTTTACGCAGCGTTTCACAGCTAAGGTGTCACCGTACTACGGTGGCGTAGTGGGAACTTTTTTTGGCGTGTACTGTATGTTGGACTGATGTCCAGCATGGCCCAGAAAATTGACCTGGAGTGAAAATTACACTTTCTAATGTCTTAGCCTGGAGCACTGTACGTACAGAGAGACACACAAACCGAGCGGATTTCTAATCCAAAGAGCAAAACAGATTGCGTTAATTATGTAATATTGTTCTCGTCATTGTAAGTACCCGGACCCACCAATTTAACTGTGCAGTATACAGTATACAAATATTCTTTGTCTAAATGAATATTTGCCATCACAAAAAATCACCACACAATAAATTATTGTAATCTTGTAGGCCAAAGGGTATAAAGATCTACATCCTAGTTGCATACCAGTTCAACTCGGCCAAATCCTCCCATACCAAGTGTTCCAACCCTTTGTAGTTCTGAAAGTGTCAGAGATACATAGGTTTTATCTTCCCCACTGCCAACATCTATACTGCAAGGGAAAGATGAATTAAATCCTACATAGTGAAAGCAAGAGGCATGCATAAACGTTGCTCACAACACATCAGTGGTGCCTGTGCAACATGGTCAAAAGTTGTTGCTGGGAGTAAAATTTCACATCAATATCACATCGCATTTTGCACATATGGATATTCATTTTTTAGTTTGTAACTGACCCAACTTCTTCTAACGCACGTCTCAGATTGAACAAATAGAAGTTGGAAGACTTTTGAACACTTGGTGCACATATACAGTGATGGTTGCAGTCTCTAATTATTTCTCCATCCGTCTGGCACAATGCACAAATAGGCAAAAGTTATACCAATACGTTAACCACTACTCTGTACATTAGTTAAACGGTGACTTTTGTAAAGGTGCAATGACACAAAAACCCTAATGACAGGTCTAGTAGAATTCTCCTTCAAATCGACACATTTAAAGGCTTTACCTCAAAATACCACGTACAGTTCTATTCCCATTAACCTCCCGTGGCCTTGCTGTGTAAGTACATAGCCTTGCTTTTGCGGGTTTGCACTGCATCATATTACCTTGTCCTTAAACCAAGTGACATTATTATTTGACCAAGTGACTACCAAGTGCAGGAGGTTAAACAGTGCAAACAACGTCCACCTAGTTTAAATGAAGGGAAACAATAAAATTTTCTCTTTTCTTACGTGAATATCACAAGAAAAATGTGCTATCATTTCTTCTAAGATTGCTACAGAATAGTACTGTCAGTTATAATGCATTCCAAACAAACTTGTTGTTCTTATCGCTAAGTAGAGATTGCGTTAATTATGTAATATTGTTCTCGTCCTTGTAAGTACCGGTACACTGCCTAGTATAGGACTGTAGACGGCATTATGTCCAAAATTTAACTTTAACTTTTGATCAAATCCCACTTCTGAAAATCAGTGTAATCCGTAGAGTAAAAATACATGTGTATGCTTAAATCTGATAATTAGCAGACTATTGAGTCAAAAAATTTGTTGTTTTTGTTATGTTCAGTTTCGATAAGCTCACCTCAAAAACAGTGACAGTATAGAGATCAAACTCATGCATGAGAAACAATGATCCGGTGTCCAACGTCATATTGATTTGTTTGTAAACAATGTTGCTTCAATGTAAACAATAGCCCCAGGCCTTACATTATGATAGAGACCGGTAAAGTGTGCTAACTAGTTAATGTCGACACCCAGAGTGATAAAACTGACCTCATTAGTATAATGTAAACACTACAAGTTTGTACACAACCCCACGCAATGAAAAATGGAAAAGCTGACTGTGCTTATAACTTGCATATGCTGGATGTAAAACCACAAACAGTTCTAAATGTTAATATCAAGCAGCCTTGGGAAAAAAGTGGTGTTTGGGCCTAAACCTTTATGTTAGGTCCCCTAACAATGAAACTTTTTATGGACTAATTGAAGTGAAGCAATGTGGAAGTAAATGAAAGCACTGAAGTGCAAAACCCTCGGCGAACTATGCATGTGCGGTACCGCTAATTAATGGCTGGGCTATGGGTATGCGTTTACTCATGGTCTCTTGCTAGTAGCCTGCGGAGAATCTGACACGGGGTAGCTACTGTAGTAGATAGCATGTGGGAGTCGATACACGACCTTCGTTGTTATTTCTTGTGCCTTCAAGGTACACAGAGTGAGCGGATCAGGTCGACTAAGCCGGTGGGATTATGCATATTGGCTTTTTCGCTTGTTTTCACGGTATATCTCTCGAACACAGTTGTTTCAGGAAAACCCCCCTTTTATTTTTCAGGCTCGCGTAGTTCTGAAGCCACTGGTATCGCTAATTGGCCACCTTGTCGACTGTAGTGCCAGAATAAGTGTCGACACACAGACAGACAAACGAACTACTGCAACCATTGCTGCGCATGCGCGCCGAGGGTTAATATAAAAATTGTGAATATAGGGATGGTATAAAAGCAAGAGAGATGTTGACCTAGTGCATGTGATGAAGCAGTAAAATCGATGTCGAATCGAACCCAAGCTGTCTCTACCTACCCAAGCCCTATAGAGTCGTGAAGCATGTGTGTGTTGTCCTTCATAGTTATTATGTAGGACTAATTTCCTACGGTTGTTGCCTTGTCCTCATTTGACTGCATTTAGTGCAGTCCCAGACTTCCATGTTAGCTCAACTAACACAATGCTTCGTTCTTGGCCCTCTACAGAATCCTCTCATGATCACTACAAAAAACGTTCAACAAACAAACTTATGTTGTGAGTACAATACGCAAAAGTGGCAACAATATAGGGCTTGTGTGGAGGAAAATTTACACGAGCAAGCAATGTCAGTTTGAAGTATAATGTAGCCATTATCTGCCCGGTCACATGCAATAAAATATAGGGCATCCCTGTTTTGTCTCTTTGCTTTTTGCACCATCCCTATAATCACCCCTTTTTCCTACATGCATGTGAAGACAATGTTACTCTATTACACTGTGGCAAGCCACTAAAATAAGTTTAGACATACAACCTACGTAACAGAATGAAAAACACTAAAGTTCAAACCATTTGCCAGAAACCATTTTCCTGTAGTGCTAATAGCTTTTGCAGGGGCATTAGTTTCTTTCACACATGGAATTTGCAAATTATTGTAGCTATAGACATTAGAAAGGGAGTGCGCAACATGCTAATTTTCTGTATTGATGCCAGTGTGTGTGTGTGTGTCTGAGCAAGCTCATGCACGAAATACCACAGCAGCAACATAAACACATGAAACAAAACGGCGGACTTGGCCGCATTAAACAAAGTGGACTCTTCATTTTGAGGTAAGACATCTTAGGGAAAACGGCTTTTAATTGCTTATTATATTCAATAAGCTTGTTCCCTTTGGCGCAACATGTGAGATACAGCAGAGAAGACAGAGAGACAGGCAGGCACACAGACTTACACACCAAGAACTGTAACCCTGTAGCACATGAGCGCCGAGGGTTAATTCCATCACTACAGATTTATGCTTACACTTTAGGCTTTTCTTCTATCTCCTTTGACCACTGCTTACGGGATACTAGGTCTCCAATAAGTTGATCAAAATGTCTATTGGGAAATTAAAAGAATTTAGTTCAATACTGATAAAAATTAAAAGCACTAAAGTGCAAACCCTCGGCGCAGAACCGGTGCTATTACTGGAGCGATAATCTTAGCATGTAGTGTAGCTGTAATTAGCACACCTGGAATTTGCAGAAATGATGTTTTTCTACTGTAAAATGAAAAGCACTAAAGTGCAAACCCTCGGCGAACTGTGCATGCTAATGATGGGCTGGGCTATTATCGTTTACCCGCCGTCTCCCGCTAGTAGCTCGCGGAGAGTCTGACACGGGCTAGCTACGGCAGTAGATAGCATGCGGGAGTCGATACATGCCATTTGTTGTGACTTCCTTAGCCCCCAAGGTACACAGAGCGAGTGGATCAGGTTGCTCATGTGCGAAACTCAGCTATGATGACAAATCAGTCGTAGAATCAAAATGGTGGACCTTGCTGCGGTAATCAAAACACGCTCTAACTTATCAGCTAAGCAAAAAACGGCTTTTTTATATTTTGTCACATCCAATGTGCTAGTGATCTTCTTTTTGCATGAGAGGACACACGGACAGACCTACTTGCAAACCAAGTACTGTACCTACGCCAAAATAAAAAAGACCATCTGCAACAAGCCTTATCTTCATCTTCCTCTGCTAGTGCCAATAAAGTGAGGCTTTGGAAATGCAGTCCTCGTCAGCTTTTTGCTGAGCCAACTCCCATAGAAAAGAGAGTGGCGTGTACCTCTTCTACCGAGCTTCACATCTGCTCATGGAACTGCAGGGGTCTCAATTACAGCGAGGCATACCTGAAATATGTACCCAGCACCCAGCCATTCTAACATCATCTTACTTCAGGAGCATTGGCTCTGGCCTTTTGAAATGCAAAAGCTCCCATCTGCCATTGACGGTTCTTCTGCATTTGAGGTGAGTGATTCTAGGCTATGTGATACATCTACCTTGCACTGAGGATGTAGAACACTCTCTGTGACTCCAGTTACACTCACTGTAAGTAGCGACCACATTTGTGCTACAGAGCTACCCCTCACTAATGCCACATTAATAAAGTCATCATCTTTAATGAGTATGCTCCCTCTTCTGACGCTGGATGGTCAGGTTTCAACAACTGCATACGTGACTTGGAAGAAGAGATCAACACAGTTGATTCCAGCACCACAGCTGTTGTCATTGTCAGAGATTACCAGTGTTTCTACGATCTCAAGAAGGCGTTTGACTCAGTGGAATACTGCATCCATCTCCACCACCTTTACAGATCTGGAATCAATGGAAAGGCCTGGAGGATGATTAGATCATTCTACCGATTGCACAAGTGAAAGTGGGGAGTGAGCTTTCTCGCTGGATCAAGTTCAAGCGTGGTGTCTGACAAGGCTTTGTTTTTTCTCCTATGCCATCGTTGCTTGTGATGAACCCCTCCTTGTCACTGAAGTGCAAACCCTCGGCGAACTGCACATGCACAATACCCCTAATTGATGGGATGGGCTGTTAGTATGCGTTTACTCGTGGTCTCCCGCTAGAGTAGCTCACGGAGAGGCTGACATGGGCTAGCTACAGTAGTAGATAGCATGTGGGAGTTGATGCACGCCATTCGTTGTGACTTCATGTGCCTCCAAGGTACACAGAGCAAGTGGACTCCGGTCGAGGTAAGCCTGTGCTAATCTGCATGTTGGCTTGTTCACTTGCTTTTCACGCCATAACTTCTGAACATGGCACTTTTACGAAAATGCCATTTTAAAAATGAAGCCAGTGTAGCGCTGAACCCGTTGGTGTCGCTATATTACCTGTTTGTTGAGCGTGGTAGCAGAAAACGTGGTAACAGACTGACAGACAGACGGACAGACCAAGTACTGTAACCCTCACTGCGCATGCGCGCCGAGGGTTAACAAGGCGAGAAGAGCATTCTTTGGTTTAGGTTCTCTGGGAATCTACCATAAAATCCAGTCTGTCATGCCCGTGTGCCTGTATGGCAGTGAGAATTGGCTGCTAACCGATCCCCTGCTTCTCACACTTGAGCATTTTCGTATTTTCAGGCTGAGATAGGCAAGAGAATTCTAAATCTTCCCAAGTGCTATGCCAGGCTATGCCCTCTAATGTTTCTACCATGTGGTATCATATATTAATACGGAAGCTCAGCTTTCTCTACCGACTTGTCAATTCCACCATCAGCATAAAAGTGTTCAATTCCCTCAGACAAGAGACTTCTGGTCCTCTTATTGTTCAACTATGCAAGTTCTGGAGGAGGTTTATGATACCAAATCCATCTTAGAGGGAGACGAAACGTGCTTCAAACCCCAAGAGACCCTAAAAGTCGCGATTCTGACAATGTTTGGTCCAAGGTCTCTCGACAAGGCAGCCTTGCCTTGTCTAGTGACATTTCATGGCCTCAACTGTGGGACATGGCACGCGACAGGGGTGTCCAAGGTTCGGGATATCTCTCAGCCATTATAAAAGTCCTGACAAAACAGATGCAGGAAAACAAAGCATTATAGAGACTCTCTTTTTGCCAACCACACTTCAGCAATACATCTGTCACAAACACTCTCTGATCTTCTTTCCCTTCTCATAAATGGTGATGACCATCTGTTTCTGTGGGATCGGAACTGAAACAGAATATGCCTCTTCCCTTACTTCTGTCTCCTAGTATGTCACTGTTGCATGTTAATATATTTTTGTATATCTCTAACGGGGAAAACAATAAACCTTTGAACAAGAACCTATGAACAAAGCACTGGAAGTGCAAACCCTCGGTACTGTAGCAGCATTCAGCAGCCGCTGAGAGACAGACACACAGACTCGGTATAATTTATTTCAGATCTAACCTACCCACGTTTTAGACGGTGCCCATCATGAACAGCGATCACCAGCCCCACTCCAACACTTCACTGCCATGACCACAAACTTACATGTGAAACAAGTAATGCTGGACAGCAGAGCATACTGTACTCTGCTCTCCAGGCATCACCAGTGTTATAAGGGATTCCAACAACTAATAGGATTCATCCCCACCAGGCCTTGCCACTAACCTGTCATCCCCAACAGTTGTGGTTTAAAGAGCCTAAGACTCCTATACCTATAGATCAAGGTCAGTATGAGTCAAAATACAATCAAATGCTGACATGCTGGTGATAGATAAGGGCATATCTACATAATTTCCTACCTTGCGAGGTTTTTGCTGCATGCCCAGCAGCCGTGTGCGGTCTTGAGAACGGTGTCGAGAGAGGCATGCTCCGATGTTTTCGCTTCATACCGTGTGCGGCGTCAAGAGAGGCGTGCCTAAGTGTGTATATACCACGGAGAACACTTGTAGCCTTGCAAACGCATGTGTGCCATTCTGCAGAAAGTGCTGACTCAGCAGGTTGACTGGGTTGCGTGGGCAAACATACAACTCTAAGGAGCACGTGATGCAAGCGATGACGCGTGCACAACCTCCTCTGGGTCCAATCCAGTGGTCCAGTGCAGCGAATAGACACTGCCGTCCATTACTAATGAGATTTACTTGTGGCTTCCCACTGAGAATCTGCATACACCAGTAGTTAGGTCGAGGTGAATCAGGTCGAGCTTAGCAGAAGCTCATTTTCATAAGGGCTTGCTCACTGGCTTGGCCATAAATATAAACTGCAGGCAAACAATGCCTGTATGACACACAGGTATGCTAAAAACTCACTCTTTGTCCAAAGTCAGACAGGACACATTTGTAGTTGCAATAACATTTGCTGTACGAATTGAGTCTCTGATAAAAAGATAAAAAGACATAAATCCACTATCAAGGCTTGTACTTAACCACTGAGGCACTCTATAGCTTTCTTCTCATTCAGGCCATTCCTTCAATGAGTATTTTATGTGGCTTATGCATGTGGAACATCTTAAAGTGGGGAAGGCTTCTTGTCTACAACAGTATGTGTAGCATGCTGCACAATCACTCTGAAGTTAAGACAAAGACCTGGGAATGAGGCAATGAAAAAATGCACTGCTTCCACTTATAGATTAATAATGTATTGCAAAAATATTGGATGTAATAAAGGCAAGCATGTTCTTAGGGTACAAGGCTTTTAAACATATGCATTGTGAAGTATCACAGAATATTAAGACACACAAATATACGTAACATGTGAATTCATTCACGTAGTGCTAAAGGCTCCGCTTCACCTCACCCAAGCAATGCCTTTTCCCCAAAAAAAGCACCGGTGTGCAGGTCTCGAATAGTACTTTCAGGAGCTTCAGGAGAGCTTAGGTGTGTTACTCTCACCTGTAAAAATATGTACATTATTCACAATGTGGCCAAAAATAATACAAATGGGACAACTCACAGTTCCAGCATTAATAATGAAGAATGTGTCTCCAGTAGAGCCCTGCCTTAAAATGTATTCACCTTTTGAATAGTAGTCCTGTTGTATAAAAAAAGTAAATTAAAAATCCTACGAATTTAAAAAAGCATGTATCCAATAAAAGATACAATTTATACAATGGTATAAAAGAAAGGGAGACAAGATACAAGATAGGGATGGTATACATGAAGCATGGTTAACAAACAGATTTGAGCGCGCTGACACCCCCGACCCCATCACACAATCCCTATATTGTTGCCGGGTGTGCCACTCGTAAAGTCCATTTGGATTCTTGGTTACTCAGTAGCATAACTGTTTATTATTATTATTATTATTTTTTTAATGGGTGTTTGCAACCACCAGAAAAAGACTGATTTATGTATGCACAATACACTTATATATCCTGCTACCACGTGCATTAGAATGTTCTAGAACCTGGCCCAAGTGCAAGGTTCAAAGTCTAACCCAGCACCTAACACCCCCCCGTGCACTAAATCTAGTGAGCCAACAGTCTGCCCAGTGCACGTGTCGACCTGAATGTGTAGTTTGAGTAGATGGAGATGGATGGTCGGGGAATGAGGGTGAGGGAGAAGTGCTTTGCGGTTTCTGTGTATTTGCGGGTGGTATTGAGTCAAGATGAGCCGCCTTCAGGCGGTCGAGTGAGATTGTAGTCTGTTTGCCTTTATAATCAACCGTGTTAGGACTTCGCTTCAAAACCAGAAACGGACCGTCATATGGAGGTTGCAATGGTTTCCGAACTGCATTGTGTCGAACGAAAAAATGTGTGCATGTGGTCAGTTCGTTACTGACACACGTCTGACAATGCTGTGGTTGTCTTGTTGGTGCAGCCTTCAGACATCACATAGCTTCTTGAGCTGTGCTGCGTAATTGGCTTGGTTGGGTATCTGCTCACTCTTAGACTGATTGAAGAACCCCTGGGAGTCGCAGGGTACTGCTCTTCTTTTGAATGTCGTACGGATGCCCAGTAAGACGAAAGGAAGTGCGGTCATCCAGCTACGTATGTATTTGGCTCTGGGTAGGGTTTTAGGTATGCCTTCAACTGTCTATGGAAGTGTTGAACGAGACCCTTGGCGATGGGGTGATATGCCATTGTGTTGTGACCCTAGCACATTTGTTAGCTCTGTCCACAGTGCTGACTCCTACTCCGCCTGATACCCACAAGGGCAAGGTTAGCATTACAATGTTTGTCTATAGTATGTATTGATGTGTTTATTTTCTCTCCAGTTAAGCTCAAAACTGAGCAGAATGTACAAAGTCTACTAATACCAATGAAGATGTTTTGTATTCAACGATTGTGCCCCATAGTACTGTGGCTTAAAAAGGTCTACACTCAAACGGTCATCCTCGGTCGGTCGTGATCGTAGACGTAGTTCCAATCCATCCGCTGATGAAGGCCTCAGAAACCGACTGCGCTGTATTATTGGTTAGAGGGTAGGCCTCTTGCCAGCGCGTGAATCTGTTGATGCAAGTGAGCAGGTAAGTATAGCCCTTAGAATGCGGGAGTGGCGCCCAATGAGGTCAAAATGGACTATGTCGAAAAACGGGCATCTGGTGTGGAGAAAGTCGAGAGTGGGGTCACCGTGTGTTGGCACGCTGACACTGCACACAAATATGTGCCGATTTGTGGATGTCGGCTCTAACATTGGGCCAGACATACTGGGCGGTTACTAGGCATTCTGTGGCCCTGACGCCGGGGTGCGAAAGTGAATGAAAGGTATCGAACACAAATCGCCGGAATGTGCAAGAGATGAATGGTCGTGGTGTTCCGGTAGAGAGATCGCAGATGATAGATTTGGCTGATGTCGGTATGGGAAGAGCCTTGAGCTATAGTGAAGATGTAAACTGCTGAAACTGAGACAGATCAGGGGTCACTGGCCTGTGCATTGACGATGTCTTCAAAGTCGATACTTTGGTGCTGTGCGAGACCATTCAGCTCTAGTTGTGACAGCACGTCAGCCACTGGATTATCTGCACCTTTGACTTGACAAAAGTGAAGGTGGCATATCTGATGAGGAGAATGTTGCATTGACTTAGAAGTGAGGGCATGTGTCAGAGGCTTGTTGGTCTGTGTAGACGGCGAACTCGCGGCCCTCTACCATGTGTGTGAAGTGTCGGATGGAGAGGTAAATGGCTAACAGCTCACTGTCAAATGTACTGTATCGTACTGGCTGGCTTGAGCTTACGGGAGAAGTACGAAACCGGTTGCCACTGACAGGCTGTTCGTTGCTGAAGACATCCCTGACCGCTACATCGGATGCGTTGGTCATAATGGCCAGTGTAGCGTCTGGTTGGGGGTGAGTAAGGAGTGTGGCACCAGCTAATGTCTTGTTCGCAGCACAGAACGCCTCTAGTGCTGGTTCGGTCCGGAGAACATCCTTGGTTCCACTGTCAGCTGGGTAAGGGGATAGAGGAAGTCTGCAGCGAGAGGGAGGAAACGACGACTATAATTCACGGAGCTTACGGTGACTTTGGTAGGGGAAAGTCACGAATGACTTCTACTTTCTCTTCCAGAGGGCGATTGCCATCTCTGTTGACATTGTGTCCCAGGAACTGTAGCGTGGTAGCTCCGAAGTGACATTTGGTGGGGTTGATTACGACACCAAAGTCGCTGACGTGCTGAAACACTTGCCGTAAGTGGTGCTGGTCCTCCTCTGAACTTGTACTGGCAATCAAGAGGTCATCTATGTAGGCATAGCAAAAATGCAAGCCCCGCATAACTTCGTTGATGAACCTCTGAAGGGCTGCATTCCGGAGTCCGAACGGCATTTGGAGAAACTCGAATAACCCAGGGAGTAACTATTGCGGTCTTAGGAATGTCATTGGGCTCCACCGGTATCTGATGGTATGCCCTGACGAGATCAATTTTCGAGAAAATAGTAGAGCCGCCGAGGGACGTGGTGAATATGTGGTATAGGGTACCGGTCTGACACTATTAAGTGCACGGTAGTCACCACAAGGTTGCCAGTCTCCTCGTGTCGTTTTAGGGACCATGCGAGGACCAATTGCTAGAGGAGGGTTGGATGGTGCCCAACTCCAGCATGTGATCATATCTTGCCGTGCGATTCGGAGGCTCTCAGGGCCCAAGCGACAGGGTCGTACTGTGGTGGGGGGTCCGTTTGTGCAGATATGGTGCTTTATGTCGTGTTTCATCGGAACGTCAGACAGGCATGGTCGAGTGACAGTGGGAAATTCCGTAAGGATGTTGTCGTAAACTGAGGGTCCTTGTTGCAGTAGGACGGCTGGACATGGCAATGTTGTACTGCATATCACCCCTTGTACCCGCAACTGTGTGAAGCCGTCAGCAAGGTGGTGGTTACGCATGTCAACCAGCAAACTGAAATGGCGCAGAAAATCAGCACCGAGGATGGGGTTCTTGACATTGGCAACCATAAATACCCACCAGAAGGTGCGGCGTAGTCCGAGGTCGAGTGTAAGGAATCTGGTGCCATAGGTAGCAATAGGGGTGTTGTTCACGGCCTGTAGGGGGCGAAAAGGTCCGCTTGCTGTCGTTCATCAGATGGTGATGGAGAGATCACGTTGACCTCGGCTCTGGTGTCAACTAGGAAACGGGTGCCTGTAATCTTGTTTGTGATGTAGAATAGGCGACTGCATTGTGGGCCGGACACGCTCATCACCACTAGCGACCGGCCCCATTGTTTCCCGCCTTGGAACTTGCGTGCAGTATTGCCGAACTTCTCATGGTACCAGCAGAGCGTTACCCGGGCAGGGGAGGGTGATCGCGTGAGGTCAACGACCTGTGACGAGAGAGTCTTTCTTGAGTAGACAGGGCGGCAACCAGGTCCGCCAGTCGTTTGACCTCTGCATCGACTTATGGTGCTGGCGAGGACTGGAATGGGCCATTGCGGAGGGACGCGAGCTGTGGGGGAGCGGCTTCCACGATGCGGTCGGCCAGGTGTGCGAGGTCCTCCAGACTCATAGAGGCACCGGCGAGGACCATTCGTACACTGGCTGGCAGCCGTTGGATGAACAAACCCCATACAAATGGGCTGAACTGCACCTCTGGGTCTGACGGCCGGCCTACTTAGAGTGTACGCCACAGACCCCTACTTTACTCCCAACATCACCCCCTACACTGATTCCACCTCCACGCGTCACATGCTCAGGACGGCGTGTGCACTGCCATCATTCCCTAACTCACTGGGGGGGAGTGATGTAGCGGTATGGAGTGACTTAATGTGACCTCTCAACTAGCATGTGGCGGTTTCGAGAACATTCGGCTAAGGCCCTATATATTGTGTTGTGTACATGTAAGCATTCACTCTGTCGGCCGTTGATGATATTTTGAGGAGAACCTACAACCTGTTCTCATACAACATGTTTTTCATAGGTTTACACAAGCTTACAAAACCATAGCTTATTTAGACCATTGGTGGCCATTACACACCTATACAATTGGTTTACATAGTACATGTCATCACTACACGTGCAAAAAAAACACTCCCACAACTTCTCAACAGAGTTATAATGGCTAAGCTTGATCGACCCAATTGTGGACAATACAGTTGTTTGTGTATGTCAATGACTTACAGTTGCAATACCAGGCAATTGATGTGCTCGAGACAACCTTACGTTAAACTTCAGGAGCTTCTCTCTTCAGGCGTTTCATTGTTGCTCTTGACCTGTTTTACAGCACATCATACAAAAAACATGATGGTGATGGGCTCCTGTCCCAGGTTTTCCAGTTGGTAGTCGCCAACTCTCAGTTCAGTGAGAAAAGCTTCTCTCTCTCTCGTCTCTGCTAGTGCGGATATCTGATCTCATGTCTCGACTGTTTCCGCAATCTACCTCCTTTCTCACCAAGACTGTGCTCGCTATAGCCATTATCTAACAGCTGCAGGAAATACAAGTTCACTTACAAGCCCGTGCAAGACAATGTAGTCTCCGCCTGAGAGTTGAATTAAAGAACTCTAAAGTACAAACCCTTGGCACAAGATGTGTATATATGCGTAGCATTGCTGTGCACAATACATACATGCATAAAGCACTCTTAAATCTAACGCTTTGTCAGAGCCAGCTTCTTACTCTAACACAAGCTAGCTAAATTATAGATATGCATCTCTCCGGAGGCTACCTGGTACATTAGTCATGACAGGTTAAAGGTTAGTCTTGCTTGTTTGAGAGAATTTTTCTTGACTTTACATAATTGTTTTAATCTTCTTTGTCGTATTCATGTCTATCATCATTCAATCATATCTGTCTGTACCGTCCAGGTAATTTTGGTCATTGTTAATGCTTTTAGTCAGTCAGTCACATGCAGACCTTGGCGCAAACATCTGATCCAACCAAGGACAAAATAATGATGAAACTCCTGGTAAACCTTTTTCACTCTGTGCATAATATGGTTACAGAAGAGTACAAGGAGGACCATGAGGCCTCTTTGGTCAGAAACATGTAAGATGTCAGACATATATCCCCAGCCATCCAGGATAGGCAGATAATGGACAGTGTATTCATATTGGTTGTCAGTCAGTCGGTCCATATTTGTCTGTTGCGTACTATGGACACATGTGGGTTTGTCTGAGTACAACTCTTTTAGCAGTCCTCGGAACTTGCTGAGTGAGGTGTTTAGTGTACAAGCTCTACCTCCAGACTACCTACTGTTAAATTCTCAGAACACAAAACACTTCACGAATCGCTTAAAAAGTGGGTTTCACGAACACAGTCTGCTTTGCGACAGACAACAGCTGATCGAAAGGTTATTGAACAGGAACTAGACAGGAGTATATAGGTTATTGGGAGTTGGCAGCACTGCATTGGAGTCGTAAACACACCATCTCTTAGTTTCAGTGCTCTGGCTGCATCAATTGGTGACCGGGTGCTTTAATAGTGTGCATGTGCATAGCAAATGACCAGCGGGCGCGCTCACACTGAAATTTGCAAACATACTTTAGCGATTTCAGAAAATAGGTTTAGTTATAATTATGGTGTGCATTCTCCGGAGAGCAGGGACAAATACTTAAGTGTCAATAAGTGATTTAACACTTTGCGCACCGCGTAGTATTGCGGAAATTTCTCCGCGTACGCGGAATTACGCATGCGCGGAATATTGCCACGCCCATCCACGTAATTCCGCGCCACTAAATTGGTGCGTGGCAATGCGGAGCAATTACACGCGCGCCATTTAAAGTGGCGCGCGGCACCCATAGTGTTAACCCAATTTGTGTCTAATTTCTCATAAGTCATGTGACCAGCAATTTTAACATTCATACAAACTTACTTCTTGAAGAACATCTGCGATTTTGAGGATTTCCTTCTTATCAAGACACTTGAACTCAGGCACACTAAAAACAGACAAATCACTATTATTGCAGTAAGAGAGGTCCAGCAGACACCATAGAGCGATGTCACAACACACAGAAATTTCCTATAATATGTGTCCTCTGCAGTCATGTTCTTAGTGTACTGTAACAATGGTAAAAATCATTTCTTGAAAATGAAGGGGATATAGGGATGGCTTGGAGCACCAAAAATTAAGAAACAACAGTCATTACACAGCAAACATACACAAAACTACACGACACCATCCCTATATGAATGATATAGGGATGGTGTCATTTGTGCATCTTTGCTGTGTAACGACCCTTGTTTCTTCCTTTATGGTGCTCCAAGACATCCCTATATCTGATTTTTTCACTTGTTTCAACTATTTGTTTAATGAACAGCTTGTATGATGGCACTCTGCATGGCAAAGTGAAAGCACTAGATGCTAGATAACACTGAAGGTCTAGCATAGCAATAGATGCACAGATGACAATGTATTACTTAGCGTTTTGGTATCTTTATCCACAGTTGTGGTTTAATGGGCAGGCTTTGGTACAATGTTAGGTACCTGCTAGCGGGCTCAAACAATGGAAGCTCAAATATTGGAATACAACACACGCTGCGCCTTACGCAGTGGCGACGCCTGCTCCTACGCGCAACACGCACCATGTACACAGACACTTGCTAACTTGCTGCCTGCAGAAACCAAAACGCAGGTTAACTACAGTACGCTTCCCGAAATGCTTTTACTTTTTACTTGAAAGCCCTCATGGTAGGCACTGGCATGGCAACCACTGTGGAGATTTGGACAACGCCCCCTGCTCAGCGCATGCTCATTGCTGAGTTAGCAGCAAACGGCGTCTTTCGGTGCTCCCCATGGAAGAGCTCAACTATCAACGGTATATAGTGACTTGCGGCAGGAAAAAGCAATCGCTTGATGTCCGCACTCACCTCCAGCGAATTTGTAGCCGTTTAGAGAAAAAAAATCAGCGCTTCAACTCGTTCCGGTATGGACATAGAGGGTTTGAAGAAGAAGAAGAATTATTATGATGATGACGAAATCGATGAAAATCGTGAAATCGAGCATGAGTGAATTCCTGCCTGGGCATGTATGGAAGTCTTGGGGCATATTTATAGCTAGATATGGTCCTGTAGACTATTGCTATTGATTTATGATAGCCTAGGGAGTCATTTTCGTCGAGTGTTTGTACGTGGATCACGTGAGATTTGACTTGTGCCATCCCTATATAGAGCGTCTACCGACGCTTTAATATACATAATGGTGGGGAATATAAAATGCATGGGCACCTGCCTTTTCTCATTCACTTCTATAGTAACCTAGGCCTTTACTGGCTCGACTACAATACTTGCAGGTTGAGACAGACACCATTAATCCTAGTCAAGACTATTGAAAATACAGCATTCCTTGAGTACACAGAGCGAGATGATTATGGCCAATCAGTTGTCTGTGAGTAGTTCCTGGTGCCACCTCACACTGACATGCAAAATATCACTGGGGTTATGAACAATGGCATGAAAGCCTAGGAGATTACTCAGGGGATAGCTCAAGATGAAAGCAGCAAAACTAGCTCAAGAACCAAGACAATATTCTGCACAGTATTACATTATAAAAGAAGCTCCTTCTACCAATCAGATTTCTGCAACAGCTGGCACCTACTTTCATGTCTCGCTGTCATTGTTTTGTTGTGCATGCTACACCACAGCATTCACCACACTAACCATTCACACCTTGTCTGTACCTCACTGCCCCTAAGGGGCGCCGATCATTCTATTGGAAGCCTGTGACCCTACCACAGCTGTGCAGGCCACGAAGTTACATTTCCATGTCCCGATTATAATGCAAATTGTTTTGCGTGGGTGGCCCATGGTGGAGAGCCTTTTAATACAGACTTGTCCAGGCATAACTGCAGCGGTAGTACACATACATAGTCATAATTATACTCTCTGAATGCCTTAACACAACCAAATTAGCATTAACATAGACACATTAACATAGACAAACCTTCGCAAAAACTTCACATGCTGTGACTGACGTACAATACCAGTGTTCATCATTATAGCTTGAAATGATGCCCTATCCAGGGTCCATACCTACATAAAAAGTTTTGCATAATAATACTCAGGTGGCTGCCATAGCACTAGGGTCATAGACCATGCACCCAGACCAATGGGCAGAACCGTTAACAAACGAACATACACAATATGAACATGAGGTGTCTGTCTCACCTCCCAGAAACCTCAACTCACCCCTTTCACCAGCGACACCCTGCAGCTCCCCAGACGCAATCTGAGACTGGGTCTGTTGTACGCTGGGATTATCGCCGTATAACCTAACCTTTCTTAGCTCCCAAACATCCAAAATAAAACCTTTAACAAGGCCAAGCAAAGAACCAAATTTATCCTCCCACAGCTCACTACCCAATATAAAGGATGCTTTCCTGAAACTATCAAGCGACTGGAAATGCTCAAACCCATCATCCCCAAGCTTCCCCTGCAGGGCAACTAAGAAATTGCTCCTAAGACTACTATATGCTGGACACTCCCACAACACATGACTCACACTTTCACACTCATCATCACACAACAGGCACTCCTTCATCCCCTCCCTCCCCTATGCCTACCCAGTTCCTCATTTAGCCCATGCGTGCCTGACCTGAACTTAAACATTAAATCTAGACCCAGCATCACTTTTCCCATGCAAGTACTTTTTGAACTCTACCACCTGTTAATGTCTTATACAATAACAGCTTTACTTTGCTATTTAGCCCCTCTTCAAACTCTTCTAATCTCCCTCTCATTAATACTGTCCCCCTATTAGACAGAAAGCCCTTCAAGGAGCAATCCCCATTTTGATATCATGCAACCACTCTGCCTTGTCAAGACCTAATGACGAAAAGAGATCATCAATGACCTACTCCAACACTTCCTCTGCCTTCCTCTCCGTGGCTTAAAATTCCATTCCTGATTAAAAGCTTCTTCGGATACCTATTGCCTGGCAATGGCCGCTAACTTATACCACCACTTCAACTTATTCTTATCCCTACGCCCTTGTAACGTATCAAGCCCCATATCCCCCCTAACGGCTTCATTACATGTCTTAGACGAACACCCAAGATGCTTAGCTCCTCCCAGCATCACGGACTCTAACGCAGCTGCCTGAGTCTCTATTCCACTCCCACAATGCACTCAACCACATGCAAATTTAATCCTCAACCACTTCCAGACAACACGGTCACAAGAAGTTCCCTCCTATGCCAATCTAATGCTTTCTCCACACATTGCATAACCACCCTGCCACAACTAACAACCGAACAACTGCGAGCACTCAATTATACACTCCACTATTACTAATTACTGCAGACACTACTGCAACGATTAACCTGCGTGCTACCATTGTCTAACACATTCTGATAGGCCATCCCATGCACCAGTACTAGTAATATCATCACGCTCCCAAGAATGTGTATGTATTTAGATACTCTAGGACAAACATACTCCCCCCATATTTCCAAGCACCATCCCTTACTCCCTACGCGAACAGCCATCACTACCTGCACTCTTACTCACATTTAGCCTTTAGCCTCCATTTTCGACAGTAGGCTGGCTACCAGCACCTATCAGCGTCTGTAACTGATACCTTAGACTCACTCACACCACGAAGTCTAGCACCGTCTGCACTCCCTGAGTCCTTGGCTCTCTAGATCCAGCTAGAACAAGATCTGGAGAGTACTGGCGAATAAGTCGGCTCGCGTTCCTTTGCTGGTCGGAAATCGCTCACTCCGCTATACTAAGGCCGTTTTCAAACGCGCAGTTTCAACGCGCAGTTTCACGCGCAATTCCCAGCACTAGGCGTAGACACGACGCACGTTAGCTGTAGTAGCTCACATATTAGTAAAGTATGGGGGTTCGCCCACAACGATCGTTTTCTTGCCGGTGCCCAGCGATACTATTAGACTCTACCGACGAACGCTGCGAGTCAACCAATCGAGCTGCTAGCATACATGAACCTATAGGAGGTTCGTAACTCGCGCTTTTTCGGCTCGCTCGGTGAGCGCTCTTTCCTGGGACGAGCGTTCGCGTCAGAAGTGTGGGACTACTGCGCCTATACTTCCGGTTGACGAAAAAGTCGGTACGGTGTTGGGCGTAGGCTCTGAGAACTACACGCGCTACTGCCAGAGCATACGGCTCGCAGCTTAATCGTCTCGAACTCCGTCGTCCGAGAAGAGTCTCGTAGGGACGTACGAAACGACAGCCTAAAACTAGCTACTATCTTATGTCAGTCGCGTGCCGTGTTTAGTAGTCCTAGCCCAACCCATACGCCCGCTTACGTTCGCCTCACAGTGCAAATAACTGGGCTGTGAGGCCCATGTCCTGCGATGTGTGTTACTCACGCTTTCTGAGAGAGCTGAATTGGTGCTGGTCTACCTAATTACTCGTCCTAAATGCGGCAGTGTATTCATTGATAGAGTATGAGCTATAGGGAAATGATTTGTGTCTTGTGCCCTTTTTAACGTCCTGTGTTAGTAGGACACGTACAGTACTAACGTGTCCTGCCAGTGTCACTATATACCAGCACACGCTGGTGTGTTCTCCAGGCTGAGCGTGTGTTATCATAACTGACAGCTGGTGTTGTTTCTCAGGACCCTTTGTCGTTTCCCTACACTCCTGTGGTTGTGTAGTGTACCATACCCCTCAGGCAGGGCTTATAGTTCTATTCCTGCTTAACTTTGACAATTGAACATAATGCAACTGCACACCCCGGCCACAACAAATAAACACCCGCTATCACTAAACCGGAAAGAAAGGCCTCTAGCCAGGTGGGTCGCTTTTGGGCTGATACTTGACACACCGCTGATGTGACCTCTTCGTGTGTCCTGTTGGGTTACCTCGAACTCGTACCTCTGCATGTGGACTTCGGCGTAGGAAAATGCCTTTACCTGGGGTACATCTTACCTTGGAATCGAACCTCTCTTCTTTTCAGCATGAATATGCTGGAGTGGTCCTGTTTCTGGTAATGAAATTCTGTTTCCTTTGTGTACTATACCTCCCCACCCTTGTTACAGCAATTTTGAAATTTTAATTTGCTGGTACTTTTTTTCCGTGGGTGACCTCCGTCAAATGGTCCCCCATTAATCTATAAATTGATGTATGCTATTAATATCCGCAAATATCCGACGATCTAAGTTTCTTCCCAAAAGGTAACCTTTCTATTGACTGCGGAACAGGGTATGTCTGTGCCGATGGTTTTGCTCTGCTTTGGTGCTAATCTTCTATTCCATATTGGACATGCTTCACCATGTTGTTGTTTAACCCCAGACTTGCCTATGCATGAAGCTCCAATGCACCAGGAATGTTAATAGTTGTATTGTGAAAAGATGTAGGCATTTCTTTCCTCCTTCCGCTACCAAAAAAATGCACTGCATCCACCTATATACACCACCTACGTGCTGAGCACTGCTAAACTACTCGTTCTGGTGAGCGCAGCTGATAGTATGTAGCTTAGCTTGGACCTAAAAAATTACTCTGAAGGGGTCAGATTTTCGATTTTATATGGTAAAATCGGTAATAATCATGTTTATGTTTCACAGAGATTCTTCGTTTTGTGTCCTTCAGTATAGCACTTATCTTCTCGCCTGCAACTTGTCTCGGTTCTAAAGGTGAAAAAAGATTACCCTCTTGTCCTATTTGCACATTGCATTTGGATTGCAAGCGAAATATTAACCTCCCAGGTAATATACTTGGTGTCTCTATTCTTACTCCCCGAGTTGTCAGAGTTACCGGTCTCGTTCGCATTCTCCTATTCTTTCATTTTCTCTTTTGGTGTTAAATACCATGTGGTGACAGGGCAACGAGAAAAGGTCGTTTGTCTGCGAGTGTGCGTCTCTTGGGCTTAAAAATTGGCCTCCCATAAATCTATCATGGTTCTTCCAAGAATACTCACAAAAAAACGTAAATGGCTAAGGTAGGAAGCCGTTCTACACGAAGAAAAAAAAAGTAGGGCGCTTTGCAAGATTTATTTTTTTATACTTGTGCCGACATCTTTCCAGTGCAAACCAGCCGCCGCGCATTATACTATCCAAATTTCTTAGTTACCACCATAAATATTTTTGAGGCAAATATATTTGGTGCCTTTACAAACAACACAATAATTAATAACAGTAATAAATTAACAAAGCAGGGTTATTTCAACTAAACATGTGGTTCCCTTAAAAACCTGAATGATTTACCAGAAGAATATCTGGACATGTGGGGGAGCTGACAGGGGGGGGGGGGGGGGGGGGGGGGGGGTTAACATTGCTGAATCCAGCATCTCTAAAGGCTTTAACTTCAGATTCATCACTTACAAAAAGGGAAGGAAATTACATTCACCCGCCAGTGTAAAAGCCTGCTTGTTTTTTAACCCCTAGGGAAAATAAAGAACCTCCTGTTTCACTAGCTTAGGTGCGTCGAGACACACTAGAGCGGTAATTCGCCTCAGTAACTTGCAGTAGCATCAGTACAAGAGAAGACATCACAATATTCTGGGATATCAAACCTTTTCATTGCATGACCTTTCATTAAATGTCCAGTGAACACACAGCTTTTAACAAGCTGTAGTCGACCTTTCTTTTGGTCGGTCTTAGCAACTTTCCTGTTCTTCTTTCCCTTCAAGTTCCCTGGACAACATAACTAAATTGGCTCCCATCTAGTGCTTTCGGCTCGATGGACACAGAAGGAAAAAACAAAAAAGAACAACCACATCTGAAGGCAGTTTAGACTGCTGTACGTATAGTCAGCCAGTACAATCTCGGATTCTTTAGAGGCAGCTTATATGTTGAACACAATGAACGGGCCCTGTTTGCCATAGTCTAACACTTTTTAAAACCAGCGGGAGCCGACAAGATAAAGATTCAACTGGAGGCATTGGAGGTCTATATTTTACCAGGACGAAATATCTGCTGTGGCTTTTTGCACTGTCGCATTTAGAGAAAAAGCTACTA